TTTAGTAGAGACAGGATTTCACCATGTTTGCCAGGATGGCTTCCATCTCTTGACCTCATGATCTGCCCGCCTTCACCTCCCAAAGTGCTAGGATTACAGGTGTGAGTCACCGTGCCCGGCTGCTGTGATCTTTATAACTCAAACATGTTGCAGTGCACTCTGATAGTCTGTCCTACCTCAGTTTGTAAAATGCTGACTGCAAGCCACCAATTGATATCATGACCACCAATAGGTCACAATCCAGAGTTGTAAAAACTTTGTCATGGTAGAAGGAGAGAGAACTTCTGAGTTTAGTTAAGCTCAAACCTGCCTAAAATCCCAGCTCTTTTATTTAGACTTACCCAACCAAACCTCTGTGCTAGTTATTTTCAGTTCAACCTCCACATCTATTCCCCACCTTCTCGGTCTTCTTCCAGGCTCTGGCTGCATCACTCTGGCTTCCACTCAGTGGAGAGCCCGAGATCAGAAGGGGAACAAGTCTGGAATGTATTAATCCAACCCTTTCTGCCTCACTACGCTTGGTTCCAGACAGCTCCTGTCCAACTGGCCCTTCTCTGAGACTCCAGCTCCCTCCCGTTCCCGTCTCAGGCCATTGTTGGTTCCGGGGTGCTTCATTATTCTTTGTTAGTTCCTTGCACCCTGCCCTTACCATGGAGATGTCCTTTTTCCTCAGGTAGACTTGAGAGTGCCATTGGATTGCTTCTGGAACCCTAATGCCTCCTGATTTTCCCATCTAAAAACTTGAGATGACAATATCTACCTCGTAGGACTGCTATTCATTATGAAATTAAGAATAATCGGCCAGGCGCAGTGGCTTACGTCTGTAATCCCAGCAGTTTGGGAGGCCGAGGCAGGCGGATTGTGAGGTCAACAGTTAGAGACCAGCCGGACCAACATGGCGAAACGCCATCTCTACTAAAAATACAAAAATTAGCAGGGCGTGGTGGCACACGCCTATAATCCCAGCTACTCAGGAGGCTGAGGCAGGAGAATCACTTGAACCCAGGAGGCGGAGGTTGCAGCAGGTGTATATCGCCACGGCACAGCCTGGGTGACAGAGCAAGACTCTGTCTAAAAAATAATAATAGTAATAATAATAATAGTGCTTAGTACAATAATCTAAATCCACTCTTTGATTCTTTATCCAGCCCAGTAAACAGGATCCACAGCGAATATAAAGGCGCATCGTTCACTTCAATCTAGATTTAGGCTTAAGAGCATGCTGTTTTCTTTCCATTAGCTGGGTGTTCTTCCAATTAAAATAAGCCTTGCAACGTTAGGGAACACCAGCCCCCAAATCCCCTCTTTTCAACTTTATCTCTCAAAGAAGTCCTGGGGGAAAGTGAGGAAGTGGGTGTTCATAATCCCCGTGATGCCTGCAGCTTCAGGAAAAAAGAACATGATGTATATTCTCTTCAGCCTCAAGAAATGGCTTTGTTTTCCCTCCTCCCAATGTTAATTCACCCCCATAGCCCTCTCCTTGAGGAACCCGGAATAGGAAGAACATAGCTGCAGACTTGTATTTGTCCTTCATTAGGCATTGGCATGAAAGTGTTTAATAAAATGAAGTATTGATATACACAATTACTTGTCAATTAAAAATGATTTTTTTAAAGAAGGTGATATTGGCAGAGACAACTGTTTCCTCTTTCTGGTAGAGAGGTCTCCAATAGCATAGAGTCAAGCTCAGCCTTTGCAATTTGGGTTAATATGTTGCAAAAAAAAAAAAAGTGTAAATGAAAGAAAGATTCAGTCAAGCATAATTGCTGAGTGCTTATTACAGGTATGGCTTGTTCTGTGCCCTGCCAATCCAGCAGTAAAAAAGAACAAAGTTCCTAGTCTCAAAGAGTTTCTATCTTAATGGTGGAAGACAGACAAACACATACAGATGTTTAAATGCATATTTTCAAAACATCTCACACCTGTAGTAATCTCAGCACTTTGAGAAGCCAAGGCAAGTGGATCACTTAAGCTCAGGAATTTGGAACCAGTCTGGGCAACATGATGAAACCCTGTCTCTACTAAAAATACAAAAATTAGCTGGGTGTGGTGGCATGGGCCTGTAGACCCAGCTACTTGGGAGGCTGAGGCGGGAGGATCACTTGAGCCCAGGAGGCAGAGGCTACAGTGAGCCCAGATCCAGTCACTGCACTCCAGTCTGGGCAACAGAGTGAGACCCTGTCTCAAATAATAATATTAATTTAAAAATTAGAAGTAATGTAAAGAAAAAGCATGATCTGGGAATAAGGAGTACAGGAGGTGCTATTTTATATTGAGTGGTGAAGGAAGGCCTCAGTGAAGAGGAGGCAATTAGCTAGACATCTGAAGGAAGACATTGAGCATCAGTGCAGACATTTGGGAAAGAGTGTTCTAGGCACAAAGAACCGCAAATGCAAAGATCCTGGAATGGGAGTGGATGTGAATGTGGATAGCAAAAGAGGCTGACATGGACGGAGCAGAGATGAGTTTGGAGAAGTAGCGAGCAAATGGATCAAGCTGATCAAACTTGTAAACAGAAGTAAGGACTCAACTATTCTGAGTGATGGGAGAGAGAAATATCTTGACTGACCTGCATGTTAAAAACCTCACCTGAGGCTGGGCATGGTGGCTTAATCTCAGCACATTGGGAGGCCAAAGTGGGTGGATCACTTGAGGCCAGGAATTCAAGACCAGCCTGGCCAACATGGTGAAAACTCATCTCTACTAAAAACAAAAAATTAAGCCAGGCGCAGTGGCACATGCTTGTAATTTCAGCTACTCAGGAGACTGAAGCAGGAGAATCTCTTGAACCCAGGAGGCAGAGATTGCAGTGAGCTGAGATCACACCACTGCACCCCAGGCTGGGTGACAGAGCAAGACTCTGTCTCAAACCAACCAACCAACCAACCAACTCTCACTTGATTGCTGGGGGGAGACCTGATGGTAGAAGAAAAAGAAGAGGAGCAAAACCCAGACAAGCAGTTAGGAAGCTGTAGTCGTCCAGATGAGAGAAAAAGGTAGCCTGGAACACAGTCGTAGAGGAGGAGGTGT